GATATAAGATCCTGTGCCTTGTTACAGAAAGTGCTAGAAGTTTGTGTGAGTGGCTTAGTATTGAAAATACATGTGTACTGGAGAAGCATGTTTCCTTGGGAGAAAGTTTCTGCTCTCAAGGAGCTGTATATAATATATTATTCCTCTCCGGGGGAGTAAATTGCTGTTAGGAGGTTGCTACACAAATGTTTGTGTCATTGGAGCACTTCTATGTTTCTATTCTCTGCAGAAATTATTGGAAATGGAAATCTAGACTTGTTCCTTTCACTCTGTCTCTGTCCTGTGGACTGCTAAGAAACTCTCTCCCTCTGTTATAGTGGAATTAATTGATTGAAAGATTGGTAAATACTTGGAGACCAAGAAAAATATTAAAAAGATGACAGACAACAGATTGGTGGTTAGCAGAGGGGAAGAGGGTGGGGGTGGCAAAATGAGTAAATGGTGTCAAATGTATGGTGAGGGATGGAAAGTAGACTTTCGGTGGTGATCATACTATAATGCATACAGATATTGAATTATAATGTACACTCAAAACTTATGTAATATATAACCAATGTTATCCCAATGAAAAGAAAAGAAAAAGAAAAAATGAAATACAAGTGCCAAGTTCTGTTCAGGTTTACTTTTCTGATTCCTCACTGTTACCTCCTGTCCCTTCCTGCCAAACAAATGAAGTAGTCAAGGGTTTCTTGGGTCCATGGCATTCATCAAAATGAGCATAAAATGAACAGGTAGAGATTGAAATAAAAGGAAGTGAGACAGGTGGTTTTGTAGTGCAATGAGATATATTATTCTCATCTGAAATCACTTATGCTTTTGTTGAAACAATGCACCCAGCATATTGCCTGATATATAGAAGCTGTCAAATAAATATTTGTTGAATGAATGACTGGACATTGTTGAATGAAAGTCAGAGTATAATAAACACATACATATATAAATTGTGGGGTTTTTTTAATAAAATAAATGTGGACTAAATCTTTTACACCTTCTTTCTGCCCATCATGTTCCTGGTTCAACTTGGAAAAGTGACTGATTAGGCTCTGCCACAGGAACCCTGAAGTTTGGTGCAAGTACCATTTATAATCACCTCTGTTTGGCTCTTAAGGCTTATAGAAACATGAAAAATTAGGCCAACATTTCCCTTGTATACATCTAATGACAGGAAGATCACTACTTTATAATCTTTGCTATGCTCTTGTCTTATGCTATCATCTTTGAATGATCTGAAAGCCCTTACTACTGCATCAATGACAGATCTGGTACTAGAACCCAAACCTCTCTATAACCTGGAGAAGAGTACTCTCCACTGTGTTGTCCTTGGAACTATAAAGCTATATTTATTCAAAGATGGTGGGAGAAGAATTTTCCTAAGAAGCAGGGCTCCAAGTGTGAACTCTGTCGTTGACTTGCTGTGTCAAATTGGGTAACCCCTTTCATTACATTCCCTTTTTGCACAATGAGGGGGTTTCAAACTGGATGCTCTGCAAGACTCTTCCAGTTCATCTGTTCCAGGATTCTCTAGTGAAGGCTAATTAAGATCTTGTAATACAGGGGTTCTCAAAGTTTGACCCAACAATCTCTAGGGGTCCCTTAGACCCTTCTCAAACTACACATCTGTGGGAGGTAGGATTTTATTCATATCACAACAAACTGAATGCAGAGCAGCTGTCAGAATTCAGCTTCTATTAAGCCAGACATTAAAGAGAATTGCAAAAAAGGTAAAAGCATACAACTCTTCTCAGTAAATTTATTTTTGTTATAGAAAATATTGTTATTCTTTATAAAATATATTAAAATGTGCTGTAAAATATGTCACTTATGTTAACACGTCAACTTTTTAAGCATTTAAAAAATAAATGAAGGAGTGAATCAATACCCTTTAAATGTCTCCATCTTAATATCTAATATGATAAATTACTATAGATATAACCCACACAAATAAAAACTCTTTGGCCTTTAACAACTTTTAATACTTGTAAAGGGATCCTGAGGGCAAAAAGTTTGAGAACTGCTGTTCTATAGGTCTCTGACTTCCTGTCTCATTCTGTAGAGCCTTGTCCCTCCAAAAGTCCCAAGTGGGATCTGTTCAATATGTGACAGAGGGATGGACACAATTACCTTGGGAGGGAGGGCATTCTTCCTAACTCATGGGTCTCAGCCATACTGGGCTTCTCCTCTCCTTCACCTGGGTTCCTTGGTATAGACTGTGACTCAGACCTTAGAAAAGGCACACTATCTCAAATAGTGCCAGTTCCCGGGTGGGGAAATAAAACAGCTGGTCAAGTGCAGGTTAATGTGATCGCCTTCGTACTTGTATGCCCACAGGTTCCTAGCCCTTTCTGGTTCCACCTGCCTTAATTAATACACTATACCCCAGAACTTCCAATCCCCCAAACCTTTCCTGACCCCTACCACCAGAAAAAAGGAGGCTACATGCCTACTATGCTGCTCATGGAAGGCCTTGGGTGTGAGGCCAGGGAGGCCCTCCCAGATTTAGAGCCACCATGGAGTGTAGGGGATGGAAGGAGAAAAGAAAGGTGTAAGGATTTGTGTTCACTGAAAGAACCCACTACATGTCATATTCTTCATGTCCTTTCTTTAATGACAAGCCTGGGAGGTGAGTAGGGATCTTCATCTTCATCCTCATGTTACAGCCAGGAATACTGAGGCTAGGGGCCAGAAATAAAGAGTCTTGCCTAGAGTGTTTACACAGCCAAAAATTATCTGGGATTGGATTTGAACTCAGGTCTAGATGATGCTAAATCAATGCTCTTCCTGCCTTACCAGCTGCAGGGAGAGTCAGGAGCATCCAGGACAGGAAGGGGGAGCAGGTACTAACTTTGATTGAACACTATTTGTCAAGCATAGCAAGTGTGAATGCATCATCTCAATGACTCTTAACAGTAGTCCCCTTACGTAGGCAGCAAACCCACAGTTTACAGAAGAAGAAACAGACTTCGAGAAGTGAAGTGGCTTTCCTAAGGACACAAGGCTAGAAGGTAGCAGAACCAACATTCAAATCTAAGTCTGTGTGGTCCCAGAACCTCAGCTTCTTCAATAATAACAAATAACATTTATTGAGAATACTTTGTGTCAGGCACTGTAATAAATGCTTTAACTCTTTCAACTCTTTCAATTTAAACTTTCCAGCAAGGTAGGTACTCTGATTATCTGGCTGTGGGGGAAGAGGGCATATGCTCAAAAGAGGGAACACTGCTCTGCTCTGGATCTTTGTATTACTCCCCTGCCACATGCAGAGAGCTTTGCCTTATAAGCCTGGAGGCAGTTGGAGGTGGGTGGGAAGGAGCCATTGCCTTACTGCTGGATTGACTCTCATCCTGACAGGGTGCCATAGAATGGGATAGAGAAAAGGGGAGAGATCAGTTATTGTAATCTACCCAGGATACAAATAGGAAAACTGAGGGCCACAAAGTAAGTTGTAAGCTGAACTGGAGGGATATTTACAAATCCCCGGGACAAATCTCTGGACCGAAGCACTGACGAGGAAAGTCATCAAAGCCAGTCATAGGTGTGCTCAAAGCAGGCTTTGTACCTTCTAGGGTCCTAGCATTTGGCCCCTTGTCTGACCACCTCAGGTCTCTGAAAGGGAAGTGAGGCCATGGGGAGTAAGTTATTCTGGGCCTCATGATGACATGTGCCCCCAGAGACCCAAGCCTGGCCTTTTGCCCTGGGGTCTCTGGGAGCCTTCTGGCTGCCAGCCATGGCACTCTGCCTGTGGAGCCTTGGGAGAGGAGGAATCACTGCTTCTTAATGGCTTCCTGCCCAGAAAATCTTTAGAACTGCTTACTGCTAACTCTTTTCACTGAAAGAACTGATTTCGGTGCATCCAGAGTGTTCGGGTTCAGATACCAGGCTAACCTTCTGGATCTGGAGGGGTCTGAGCATAAGAGTGACTAAAGGAGGAAAGATATCATATCCTCAGAAGATGTTCACAAAAGGACATACACCCAGGCTATCTGAGCTGGAAGAGAGCTGTGATGCCCTGAGTCAGGGGGATGGGGGAAATGGCCATTGAGAGCTCAGATTCTCATTGGGGCATTACCTGACTTCCTGTGGATTCCCAGGGCAGCACAGGAGTTCTGAAAGGAGCTGTGATTGTTGGCCAGAATGGAGGTTTTTCCAGACTTACCCTGTCTTTAACCCCAAATAGGAGTCAAACAATAATAGACTTGAGACAGAGACTTGTGACCCTGCCTTTCATTATATAGCCAGGAAAACTGAGGCCCAGAATAGAAGGGGGCTCTTGGAGGTGCCAGAGTGAGCTGTGATTTCTGACTTTAGAGCAGGGTTGGAGAGTGATCCCATAATACAGGGCCCAGAGCTTCCAATCTGAGGTTTCCTAAGGCCACAGCTTTTCCCCATCCACCGGCTGCCTTCACGCCTGCTTGGGGCCTGCCCATGTTGAGGGCTCTCCTCCCTGGGCCTTTTTCCTTGGCACTTTTTTACACAGCACTTGTGTGGTCTTGATTGTACCCAGAGGCCCCCAGGGAGAACTGATGTGTCACTGAGCAGAAGGCAAGCAGACAGGCATGCTAGCATGCAAGTGACTGGCCTGGAGAATGAGCAAGCAAACGGGCTGGACACTCCAAGCTTGGGAACTATAATGTTCAGGGAATTTCAATTGGCATTGCTGTCTGGTCCCAGCCAGCTGGTTAACGTGCAGAGTTTGAATCAGTGACCCGCCTTTTGGTCCCTCCTCCTTAGCTGGCCTCCTCTCTCCTTCCCTCCCCTTCTTCCCTCCCTTGGCCAGCAGTCTGGGAGACGCCTGGAGTGGAGGCAAGCTGAGCTCAGAACAGCTGCTGTTCTGCTTCTCCCCTCTCCGTGCAGTGTGCCTGATGGAACACTGGGTCAGGGCTGGATCTCACAGAGCCTCTGGTCCCCTGTAGCCTAGTCCCCAGAGAAGGAGAGACCTGTGCCCAGCAGAGCTCTACAGGGCCCTGCCAGCTTCACGAGCCCCACCATGCCTCTGCTGGACATTTTCTGGGCTTGCTTCAGGAAAGTGAAGGTAAGTGGCTGCCCAGCCCCAACCCACCCACTGCTCAAGGGAGAAGGAGGCAGCTGAGGACCACTGTATGCTGGCTGGAAGGCAGATGGGCTTCTGAGACTGCCTTGGCACTAGAAAGGCTTGGGTTCAAGTCTCACCTTTGTCATTTAACCAGCTCTGTGATCTTCTGCTGCTTTCCCACGGAAATGAGTAGGCTAGCAGGCTCTTTCTCATAAAACTTGCCTTTGTTGCTTCCCAGATTCTTAACACCCTTGAGACCTCAGTTTTCTCAGCTTTAAAATGAAGACAATAACAACACCAACTTTACAGGGTGAGAAGGTTGGTGTTATTTTTGGTATATTAAATGTTTACACATATAAGAGATAATGTGTATAAAGTACCTAACATGATGACTGGTATGTAGCATCAATACAAGTAATGGTAACTGTTATGATAATTATTATTACTAATAATCAAGCACCTACTCTGTGCTAGGTACCATAGGAGTTACCCAAAGGCAAAAAAGGACATGGTTTCTGTCCTCAAAGAGGATGTAGGAAAAGTGACAAATATTTATCAAGCACCTACTATATGCCAGACACTATTCTAAATAGTCAGTTAAATATTTGGTGAGTACTGCTATATCCTGGAACAGGGAATATAGGAACATATTAAGACCCATAAGGCTGTGTAGGGCATGATTTCTTCTCTCAAGAACCAAGGAACTGATATTTCTTTAGTATCTTCTATGTACCAGACATAGGCACTTTCTTTCTTTTTTTCTTTTCATTTTTGGGGATTGTTTTTTTAAAATGATTTTTTCATTAAAATAGTTGTATGACCCTAGCCAGTGTGGCTCAGTTGGTTGGAGCATTATCCCATACACCAAAAAGGTGGCTGGTTTCGATTCCCAGTCAGGGCACATACCCAGGTTTCGGGTTTGATCCCTGGTCGGGAGATTGTAGGAGGCCACCGATCAATGTTTCTCACATCTCTCTCTCCCTCTCTCTTTCTCTCTCCCCCCTTTCTAAAATAAATTTAAAAATTTTAAAAATAGCTGTATATTCTTACTGAGACAACTTGGAAAACAAAAATGGAGAAGAAAACACAACCATCCATTATTTTCAATACCCAGGAAAATCATTATTAATATTCGAGTGTATTTTTTTTCTTCTACAATTCTTCCTTCATCTTTCAAAGCTGCAATTCTTCACTCTGCATATATTATTTTTATTCTGATTTGAAATTCATTTAGCTCAAATTTCCCCTAAGGCATATATATTTTTAAATATATTTTTATTGATTTTTAGAGAGAGAGGGGAAGGGAGAGAGATGTAGAAACATAGATGTGGGAGAGAAACATCAACTGGCTGCCTCCTTCATTGCCCCCTACCAGGGATCGATCTTGCAACCCAGGCATGTGTCCTGACTGGGAATTGAATTGTTGACCTCTTGGTTCATGGGTCGACACTCAACTGCTGAGCCACACCAGCTGGGCATATTTTTAATGTTTGTATAGTATGTTATCAAGTTCATTTACTACAATTTAGTTAATCATTGCCTTAATATATGAACATTGATTTTTTTTTATCATGGTTTTGAATAACATTACAGCAAACATCTTTTGAGTCTTTTTTTTGTAGTGATTCCCAAAGATGGAATTTCTAAGCTAAAAGGGTATGACCAATTTTTTATGGCCCTGGATATGATTACCAAATGGTTTTATCAAAAAGGTCAAGTGGTTACATTCCCACTGGTAGTGAATGAGCTCACAGTGCCCCAAAGCTATGGTAACCTGCCCTTCAGAGAGCCAGCTGACAGCTCTCAGGCAGTAAGACCAGTGGGCAGCTGTTAAAGATGCCTCCAGACAGAGGAGGAAGTCAAGCCATCAAACATCTGCTCCTGGGCGGTGGCGGAGCACTCAGGGTCAGTGCTATTCCTCTGCTCCCTTCCAGGGTCATTGATGATTCAAGATGCCCATTTGGAAACTGAAAGCCTTTGATATCAATAGAGTAGAAAGGATGATACTCCAAGGGAGGACTAAACAGTGATCTCACCAATTCATTAACTGTGGTGGTAATCTTCACCACAACCCACTGTTTTTCTGCTTTTATAGATGGGGAAAGGACCTTGACAGCGATTGAGAAATGTTTACAAGGTCACTCAGGTATGACTGGTAGATTTGGGGCCTGAACTCCTAAGTCCGCACTCTTCTTGACACTGTGTGGCTTTTCATATTTCAACCCAGTAGGAAGACTTTCAAACAACTAGCTTGATTATGAGAGAATGAAACTAAGGCTGGGATCCTTGGAAGGAAAGATCACTTCCAGCAAGAGGGACTTGGAAAGGTTTTATAGGAGGTCACATTTGGACTGAGACTGAGCCTTGAAGGAAGAGTTTGTCAGTCCAAAAAAGGGGAAGGGCATTCCAGGCATGCCTGGCAGAGGGAACTCCATGAGCAAGAGTCTGCAGGTAGTTAAGTGGTGATGGGTTGGGGAAAGGGCTGCTTTCATAATGTGCCTCAAGTGCAGGGTTCGAGGGGAGAGGAGCTAGAGAGGGGGAACCAGGAGCTGTCTCCCAGAAGGTTTGGAATTCATGCGTGAGTTGATGATCCTAACCTAGAGGGAGGTCCCAAATGAGATTTTCTCTCATCTGCCGTGAAATGAGAGAAAAGTGGAGATAATGTAGTGCAGTTTTCAGGAAGCTAAATTAATTCAACTCAAAAGACTATTATTTATTTGAAGATTATTATGTCCTTATGGGGATGAGGTTTAAATGATCTCTCTTTAATGAAATAGGAGTGAGATATTTTTTAAATTATCTGTCCTCAGAAAAATAAAAATGTCTGTGACTCTCTGACTGTTCCCCTATTTATTTAAACGCTGTCTTCCTCATCCATGAAATTCCAAAGTCTGGAGACTGTTGTGTTAGGGGACAGAGGAATTTTAGTAAAGTAGGGATATAATTAAATGTATGGTTCTAAGGAAAGAGCTCTAGCAATTTCAGGTAGGGACAGCGTGGAAGGGCCCACGTGGTGATGTGGAGTCCAGTAAGGTAGCTGCAATGGCAGTGAGGATGGGTGAGGAGGGGATGAGAGATGGATCTAATGAGAAGGACAGGGCAAGGGGGAAGTGAAAGTGCCTGAGAGGTTTGATGCCCTATTGGCACCACTGTCCACTTCCTTGGCCAACTATTTTAGTGCTTGGCATAGATTTAAATCCCTTTATGCTAATTACCCTAATATTTTCAGACTCCTAGCAAACACTCCCAGCCCATGCTAACCTCTTAGAAATTGTCGGGGTAGGAAAACCCCAAGAAAGGCCAGGGACCTCTAGCCCAGGTCCTAGACACTAGCACCCACACACACATTCACTCATGTGTGTGTCCAGAAGCACACAATGTACACATGTGTTCATGCACACTCTCAGCTACACACACACGTATAGACATGTCATTGAAGCTTGCATACACACACATATAGAGACAAACTCATGCAAATGTACATGCACACACAGTGCACAGCCACAAGCATATAGACTCACATATATATACCTGTATGCACATACAGAAGTAGGCACACTTGCACACAAATGCATGCCTTCCCATGCACGAGCATGCAGACACACATGGACCCAGGAACATACATAAGATTATGTAGACATATTAAAGCATGCACCTAGTGCAAAGGCATATGTACACACATGTGTACACATAAGGCTTTGGCAGACACCAATCAACACATGGGTAGATCTCAGGGAGAAGAGGCAGCCTGCCAGATCCCCTCCCCCCCACATGCACTTGGGTTTTGTGTCTCCTTTTCCAATGCTACTGCTTTGAGGCCCCCCAGTAAAACAGGCAGGAATTCTGGACTTATGAGGCCAGTCAAGGGCATGGGCTGCTCTGAGCCCCCTGACCTCTCTGAACCAGGCCCCCTTGTGAGCAATTGCATGGCAGAGCTGATGGCAAGGAGGGGCATTGCTGTGGCAGAGCCTGCTATAGCTGAAAGGGCCCTTCAGATCATCTCATTCAACATTCTTGGAGTCCTGATGGGGAAACTGAACCCTTGGCATACCACACCATATGGAGCTCTCCTTCAGCTGGGGAGGCATGAGAAACAGGGAAGCAGAGAAACTTCAGTTTGAATTCCACACCCCTCCCCCCCAACACATACACACACATAATAGCTGTGTGCCTTTGAGCAAGTCCTCTCTGAGTCTAAGTTTCCTTGTCTGCAAAATCAGTGCCTGTCTCACAGAGATGCCATGAGGATTTGGGGAGGTTGTCTTTAAAGTGACCAGCACGGAGTCGGTGGTTAACACACATGACTTGTTAGAAGCAGATTTCTAAACTGTATACTGGAGGCATCAAAGCAAAGAACAAGGATTATTCCATATTTGGAAACTGCAGGTTTAAGGTTTCAGATCGTGTCTGCTCTTTTGCCTCAGCCTCCACCCCCAGCCCTCTACTCTGACCCTGCCTAAGTCTAGGATGAGAAACAATCCATTTGGGAGCTGAACGGTGACACCTTAGAAACCAGGGATACTGGAAGGTAGTGAGAAGCCAGGCCAGGGTCCAGGACTGCTTTGAGCTACACTGGTGTTTAGGGGCGGCCAAGGGACAAGATGCTTAGATGTGAGATGAACCCGGTATAAATAGTTCCATGCATATCTGATGTGTCTTCCCTGGAGGCCAGTGGGCTGGGAAGGTATCCGTGGTCTCTCAGAACAACCAAACACACATATGAGTGCCCCACCCCCAGCCTCACACTTTCACACATGCACACACAAGACTGTTTCTTTGATGTGTCTTTTTGTCCCCTTCCAGCACTTAACATGGTGGTATGCACATAGCAAGTGGACAGAAAATGTATCCTCTCTTGTATCAGATGAGCATATCAGTTCCTGGAAAACACTGGCCTGGAAAGCAGAGTATGTGGTTGGATCTCTATCTAGGTGGCTTTGGGAGGGTCAATACTTGCTGTTGTCCCTCAGTTATTTCCTCTTACAACATAGGTAGATAGT